GAAGTTGAGACCCGCGCAAGGTCAACCGCCGTGCTGAAGAACGGGTCGCCTAAGTAAGTAAGTAACTTCTGCGACTTCCAATCACTTCTGTGGTGACGGCTCAATCAGCTCTGGCTTGTCAACCTGGCATGGTTTGTGCCTCCGCGGGGATCGAACTTGTGACTTATGGTTGGATGCATACGGGAAACTCCACTCTCAACCCTTGGCTACTTGTACTCACAGGAACATTTTTAAGATCGAATTCCTTCTTTAATAAATTGTTACTCGTTTTTTTTTGTATTTTCAACTACTTCACAAGCATGTTTTGTTCATTTTTATTTTTCGGTCGGTAAATCTCGAATATTAATAGCATAACGTTTTGGGAACACGAACAACAGTGCTTGTGATTCAACGTAATTTAGTATCAACAGAGAAAGCATCATGTGATTCACAGTAAAAGTGCTAACCCATTGCGACTAAGCCATCTTATTATATGGTTTACAAGTGTAATTATTACTCACACCAAATTATAGCTGATTATTATAATTCAATTATAAAGTAACGAGATCTTTTGGAATGACGAATTCGAGCATTGTTGCAATAATATCCATTCCCATAGGTAATTCAGCCTACAAACTTCATTATAAATGTCATCCTTTGTTTGAAGGCACTTTTTGCCGTAGCAAGTCGTAAGTACGGACTTGCTCGCTGATTATACTGGGGCGTGTCAGGTGGCTAGGTTTGGCCAAGCCATTTTCCACCAATTGCTGTCACTTTTGCAATTCAACAATTGACGGAAAATGTGTTGGCGCCGCGCCAAGCCCAACCTCCTTCGACACGCGCTAGCATCCGCATAGAGCAAGAGTGTAAGAGAGTTTTGAAAACAGAAGTGCAGTGAGCTAGTTGAACTATTATTGAGCAAGAAAGCATGAAAAACCGTCCGCAATAACAGCCTCGTACAGTCCTCATCATTGCGGACTGTCGGAGGGCGGCTGTGCAACGCGGTCCAAATGGGCGTTCGGCCTCGTTGCTCTACCAATGGCGATCGGGTAAAGATCGATTTAGGGAGGGAGCAACCAATGATGGAAACGCCGCAGGTGCGAGCCGCTGATTGCGACCCGACAATTGCGGTGATGTAAAGTGTACTACACTTAATAATAGTGACGAGAATCAGTCTGTGTTCAGATCAGCGTCAGACACGACGAGGGGACGACATAGCTGAAAAGCTGCGAAATGAAGGACCTTGAACAATCGATCGCAGTGACGAAGAACATCGATCGCATTTCTGTCTTCCTTCACCTACTAGAAAACGAGGAGACCAGGCCGGCATGCGGCCTGAAGCCACACATTCACGAACGTAACTCTGCACTCTTTACCGTGGATCTTAGACCTCGCCACGCGCAAGGTGAATGGGGCCTTAGCTGCAGTAGTGTGCTACTTTATCCGCTCAATAATGCTTGGAACGTGAACGACGAAAATAAAAGGAGAGAATTGGTGCCCGCGATGCCGGCGTCCCAATACACTTATACATCCACCGCAAGTCGCCGCGGCAATCCACCGGCTCGCACCCTGGCGGGTTTCCATCAATTTGGTACTTGCTCCATCCTAAGCGTAACACTTACCCGATCGCTAATTGGTGCGAACAACGAGTGGGCCCCCGAACGGCCCATTATCGGACCGCGTTGCACAGCCGCCCTCCGACATTATCCGCGAGGTGATGAGGACCTGCTCCCGCCATACATCCATCTCGCGGCTACCACATGGTTCTAATTGTTTTCAAGTGCCTGTTCGCTGCGGCAATCCTTTGCATGCGGCTGGCATCTTGAGCATGAGCATGGGCGGAAATTCGGCATCTTGGGCAACCTGCGGGTGTCACTTACCATTAAGTAATCATCCATCCTGAATTTAGGCGTCCTGGCGGTGTGATTACGATGATCGAGCGTGCAGGCGAGCTGCCGATGCGGCTGCAAAAAAGTGCATCACACAACTGGAGGCCGGATTATCAGATCAATTGTCACTTCAGTGTATTCAAATCAGAAGTAAACTCACAATATCCGTTTGCGTTGAGAAGAGTGAAGCATAGAGTTTTCTCAAGGCTATCAGCATACTGAAAAAAATGACATGAAAAATAAGCAATAAATATTTCCGGAAAATTTCAGAAGCAGACTGACGCTGAAGAATGTGTTCTGTAGTGAATAGCTCTGAACGATGTTGTGACAAGAGGAGTAGATACCGTTGACTACGATCTAAATATGACAGATTAGTTTTACAGAGATAAACAAATAGTCACCAATGTCAAGATAATGCCACGTATAAATTCTAATGCCGCGACGCGACCGCGCGCGTCTAAATATGTTGCCCATCACAGTCGCGGTTGTTAGGCTTTGAAAGATGAAAGAAAGGTTGACAGAGGAAGGAACTGACCTTGCCATTGGATGTCATCGGTGAATAAATTCCAGTCTCAGTTACCGTTGACACTTTTGCCACTCGAGCTGTCCGAACATAGTCATCCTACATAAACAAACATTACAACAAGATGAATTAGCTCAGGGCATATAGCTATTTAACTGTCTTCCGCCATGATATCATAATCCCTTCAAACGAGAGGCATGGAGGGAGTG